CTTTCCTGGTCACACTCTGCAGACGGCTGCCACCTGGGCCTCTTTGGATTTTTTGTATCCTGTGGAATTCTAGGACTTTGTTAGAGCAATTAGGACTTATAAGGATTCCCTTATATATTGTTTGCATTACGATTGGTCCTGGTTAAGTGCCAGATCATACTGTTTTCATTGTTATTACAATATTCTGACCAAAATATAAAAAGACATTCAAGGAAATATGGAAGTACATTTATTCCCTTTTTTAGTACTTATTTCCTTGGTAATACCACCTCCTATGTTGATATGTTATATCATTTTGTTGGACATTTTCTTTTCCTTTGTTCACTACAGTACAATACTTCATTGTAAAGAAGTTCGATATTAATTCTTGGATTCTATCATTTTCATCAATAGGCTCAGTTTGAAATCTGAACCTCACCATCGTTATGATTACTGTACCCAACATACACTCTATTACCAAAAGTATTGGAACGCCTGCCTTTACACGCACATGAACTTTAATGGCATGCCAGTCTTAGTCTGTTGGGTTCAATATTGAGTTGGCCCACCCTTTGCAGCTATAACAGCTTCAACTCTTCTGGGAATGCTGTCCACAAGGTTTGTCTATGGGAATGTCTCACCATTTTTCCAGAAACGCAGGTCAGGCACTGATGTCGGACTAGAAGTGCTGGCTCACAGTCTCCTCTCTAATTCATTCCAAAGGTGTTCTATTGGGTTGAGACCAGGACTCTGTGCAGGCCAGTCAAGTTCCTCCACCCCAAACTCACTCATCCATGTCTTTAGGGATCTTGCATTGTTCACTGGTGCGCAGTCATGTTGGAACAGGAAGGAGCCATCCCCAAACTCTTCCCACAAAGTTGGGAGCATGAAATTGTCCAAAATGTCTTGGTATGCTGACACCTTAAGAGTTCCCTTCACTGGAACTAAGGGGCCAAGCCCAAACCCTGGAAAGCAACCCCACATCATAATTCCCCTTCCACCAAATTTCACGCTTGGCACAATGCAGTCAGGCAAGTACTGTTCTCCAGGCAACCACCAAATCCAGACATGTAGATTGGATTTCCAGACAAAGAAGCATAATTCCCCACCCCAGAGAACACACCTCCCCTGCTCTAGAGTCCAGTGGCGGCGTGCTTTACACCACTGCATCCAACATTTTACACTGCACTTGGTGATGTAAGGCTTGGATGCAGCTGCTAGGCCATGGAAACCCATTCCATGAAGCTCTCTATGCACTGTTTTTGTGCTAATCTGAAGGCCACATGAGGTCTTTAACTCCTGACTCTGCAGACAAATGGTGACTTCTGCGCACTATGCGCTTACCCCGCTGTGTCATTAACACTAACAGTTGATCGTAGAATATTTAGTAGTAAGGTAATTTCATGGATGGACTTATTGCACAGGTGGTAACCTATCATGGTACCACGCATGAATTCACTGAGCTCCAGAGGGAAACCCATTCTTTCACAAATGTTTGTAGAAGCAGTCTGCATGCCTAGGTGCTTGATTTTATACACCTGTGACCATAGAGGTGATTGGCACACCTGAATACAATGATTTGGAGGGGTGTCCCACTACTTTTGGCAATATAGCGTATATGTGTATTTGGAACTTGCAATAATCTGTTATTGTTATTATTTGATGCTGCCATGTATAACTGTTATGCTCTTTTTGCCTATTTTTGCTCTTTCTCCATACTTTTAATAAAGATATAGTAAAAAAAAATTAATTCTGAATAGTTGTTTCCTCTAGCTGACCAGTAGAAGGTTTATTGTCACTAATGAATGCCAGGGGAGAGCATAAATATTTAGGGCAGATCATGTAAACTCTCTCTTTTCCTCCAGGCTGTGGCTTGGGGAGGGTCCATGTTGAGCAATTGTGGAAATCTTTGCATGTGTTTATTGCAAATGCCTTGGAAGCAGAAGCCTGCCTGTCAAGAATTGTCCTGCTGCTAGAGACCCTGGGCTCTGGGCCTGGAAGGAGAAGTGATGCCTGGAATAGAGTACCTGAGGTGACTCTGCCGCTTAAGGTCCTATAGAGGGGGAACTTTCTGAGAGCCTGGGGAAGCATCAGTAGGATTGCTATGAAGGCTGTATCTACTGGGAACTACTGTTTCTTTTGTAAAGGTTGTACAGGTTGATAGTTTCAGCTTAAAGGCCCTTTTTGCCTGTACTGGGGTCTATAGAAGAAGTCTGAGTCTACAAGTCAGTAAGAATGTTCTGTGTGACCTATGCCTCTCTGAAGTCTGTGAAGAATAAACATCCTTTAAAAAGTCCTTAAAGTGACTGATACCCCTTCTTTCAGCCATGGACTCTGGAAAAATATTACCCCATCCTGTCTCTGGGGCTACCACTGTGGGGGGTGCTACACTTTTGGGGCTCATCATGGGGCTCAATGGAATTTGGTTTGCTTTTGCCCTTAGCAACCATCAGCAAGTCCTGAGTTTCATCTTGGCACTGCAGAGAATGTGGACTTTTCTATCTGAATGCCTCAGATACTGTGCTCCTATTTCTGTTGTACCACCAAGTGTCACCCCAATAATTTGTCACTTTCACCAGGTGGTGGAGGGGTTAAATGCAAATTCCAGGACTGACTTCATAAGCTGGGGGTGGAGAGAGTAAAGACCAGGAGCTACATGATCAATGAGTAAAGGAGAAGAAGTTGTCTCATTTCTGGCTGCATGAGAGTCATTGTGTGTTCTGTGTGCTGCTTTGTAGCCATCCAGGGAGTAAATATCAAGGCTACTGCACAGCTGCAGCTGGATACCCGTGTCCATCACCACCTTTCTGGATATGCCCAATATGGCTGCAATGTCAATGTTGGGACAGGCACAGTCCATTTTGCAGAAATAGGTGAAGCAGGCTTAGCAGCAAGCCATAGGCATTTTATAATATTATAAGCAGTTATAAGTGGTTGCCAATAAAGGAGCTGCTGCATTAGATTTAATATATTCAATAAAGATGCTAGTCAAATGTTGCAACTATATGCATGCATTTTAAGTTGCTGAATCAAAGGACTGTTGTTGGTGAGTGGACTCTTGTGATGAGTGGATTGTTGTGAATGCATGTAAAATGCCAAAAAAGTAAATTGAATTAAAAAAAAAAGTTATACCTAAAAAAGAAGAGATTGTTTTTTGCAGTTATCACTGTTTCCTACATATTTAATACAGCATATTTATTGCTGATGAGCTCTTCGCATTATATATTTGCAGCACACATTTTTAACATTCCGAATGAAAAGAATTGCTTTGCTTCTTTGCTAACTGCAGTAAAAAAAAATTAAAAGTCCCTATATAGGTAATCAAATAAATGAAGAACAACATTTTGCAGTACAATTAGAAAGATATTAGAAACTATCATGTAACAAATATGTGAAGTGATTAGACTTTTGTGCAGTCGTGTATCTCAGAAAAATCATTTAGTGGATTATTTGTTTATGCTATTAAACTTACAGGTATACTTTCTACATACGTAAGCTTTAAGGCACTTTAATAAGGCAGTGGTTTCAAGGTCTACTGAGAGAATGTAGAAAGAAATATAAAGACAAGAGCATAATGGAGTGTAGTTGCTTGGCAACACATGGCAGCCATAACACACAATGACAAAGGTTCTGGTAAGAATGAGTGGATGTGACCATGACAAGTGAGGACGTCAGGTAAGATACAGTTCTCTATAGATTGATATGCAAAGCCTTTTAGAGCAAAATGACATATTTAGTGAGTGGTGGAGAAAAAAAAATAATCCCCGTCCTCTCATGCTTAACCATTAAAGTACACCTATTTTGATTGTTAGATAAATAGATACATAGTTTTTTTCATGTTTACTTGTTATGTACTATAAACAGATAAATACACATGTAGGACTGTGCAGGCAGCTTTCCATACCTAATCTTTATATCAGTGTCAGGCCTAGAAATGAAACAGAAAATTCACCTGAAACAAGATCCACTTTAAATTTCACTAAATCCAGATGGAATTTTAAAAAATAGAATTTTATAATCACAGATCACAAATTCAAACCAATAACCATAGTAAGCGATTTAGGGAAATATTTCTGTGAAGTTTTTCTATTTGTCAAAGCTATGGGCTAATCAAGTACCGTATTTTTCGCACCATAAGACGCACTTTTTTCCCCCAAAAAAAGGGGGGGAAATGTCAGTGCGTCTTATGGAGCGAATATGGAGCGGCCGGTCCGGTATTTCCACTGCCGCCGTCTCAGAATACCGGGCTGGCCGCTCAGCTCTACAGCGGGACCTTATAGAGATGACTGCTGACCTTTGGGGAGGGTGGGGAGCGGGTACCTAAATTTGACAGATACCCGCTCCCTCTTCCGTGGAGTTGTTCTTTCATCTTACCCGTTCCTCTATCCAGCGGCGCGGTCTTCCCGGCTTCTGTAGTGTGGGCATGACAGCCGGGTGCCAAGTGCGCATGCGCAGGAAGCGGTGCTTTTTTGTGAATGGTAAGGCGGCACCTGGGACACATGACAGATCCCAGAAGCCGCCGGACCAATCACAAAGCGCAAGTGCTTCTCGCTCATGCACACTGGGCACCCGGCTGTCATGCCGAGCGCCATTATAGAAGCCGGGAAGAAAGCGCGCGGCTGGATAGAGGAACAGGTAAGATGAAAGAACAACTCCGCGGAAGCGGGAGCGGGTACCTGTCAAATTCAGGTACCCGCTCCCCCCCCTCCCCAAAGGTCAGCAGTCATCCCCTGTACTATCCACAGTCTCTGGTCATCCCTGTGCCGTCCGCAGTCTCTGGTCATCCCTGTGCCGTCCGCAGTCTCTGGTCATCCCTGTGCCGTCCGCAGTCTCTGGTCATCCCTGTGCCGTCCGCAGTCTCTGGTCATCCCTGTGCCGTCCGCAGTCTCTGGTCATCCCTGTGCCGTCCGCAGTCTCTGGTCATCCCTGTGCCGTCCGCAGTCTCTGGTCATCCCTGTGCCGTCCGCAGTCTCTGGTCATCCCTGTGCCGTCCGCAGTCTCTGGTCATCCCTGTACTGTGTCCGCAGTCTCTGGTCATCCCTGTACTGTGTCCGCAGTCTCTGGTCATCCCTGTACTGTGTCCGCAGTCTCTGGTCATCCCCTGCACTGTGTCCGCAGTCTCTAGTCATCCCCTGTACTGTGTCCGCAGTCTCTGGTCATCTCCTGTACTGTGTCCGCAGTCTCTGGTCATCTCCTGTACTGTGTCCGCAGTCTCTGTCCGCAGTCTCTGGTCATCTCCTGTACTATGTCCGCAGTCTCTGATCATCTCCTGTACTGTGTCCGCAGTCTCTGGTCATCCCCTGTACTGTGTCCACAGTCTCTGGTCATCCCCTGTACTGTGTCCTCAGTCTCTGGTCATCTCCTGTACTGTGTCCGCAGTCTCTGGTCATCTCCTGTACTATGTCTGCAGTCCATTAGTTCAGAATTTTTTTTTCCTGTTTTCTGCCTCTAATGGTCAGGTGCGTCTTATGGAGCAAAAAATACGGTAGCTAGAATGCAAAGTATATAAATTAAATTTGAGTATCTGTAAACCATTAGGGGATATCTTTGCTAGAGTTCCCAAATACATGAGTATAACTCATTTGTTTAAGTGTCTTAAATAGTTTGAATTTGATTTTTAATGTGAAGTTTGTAATGTGACAGTTTCTCTCCTATCCACCACTTTTTGGCAGTTTTGAACCATATTTGATGTAGACATGTTGGTAATCTGTATGATCTGGATAGCATTTTGTATTTGCTTTTGTATTAGCTTCTGTCTTTGTTCTAATTGAGGAAACATACACTAAGGCTACAATTTTATATTTGTGTTCATCTGTTAACTGAGTTTCAAGAGTCCTTCTTCCATAGTCAAATAAACCCCAGTGGTATAAAGAAATTTGTGGAGACAATTAATTTGTGAATAATGGATACACAACTAAACGTAGTGGTTTATTGGTAAAAGAACATCTATAATCTATATAGATCTGGCATGGAATGATTAGGTTTGGGAAGGGATTTGTAAAAATATTTTATTTGCTTGTATCATCAGTAGCCAAATGATTGCGTACCCTATTTATTTGTAATTTTTTTTTCCAAAAAGAGGAGTTTATTTCCTTTTGATAGGTATTGGAGTTAGAGTGCACTATTTATAACCCAGCTTTATTTGTTCCTAGGACAAATCCAGAAGCATTTATGAGAGACATCATAAAAAGCATTAGGTGGCCACTTTGCATTTAACGCAGTGTGTCAAAGTGGAAGGTGAAGTCTTGTAAGGAGCATTTATATTTGGGTATCTATAGATCTAGTTAAAGTTAGCTGTTGATTAGGGCAAGTTGAACGATTAGCCAAGAACTATGGCTTCATAATATTTTATATATTAGGGAGGCATGCAACACCATTAAATGAGGTCTGGCCAGTATTTTGATATATAGTTGGAGCTTCCTTCCTTGCCAAATAAAGACAATAATTATTTGCAAGGAACTTCTTTCCTCTTGATTAAAAAAAAAATGTGCCAAACCAGTGGCTGGGGGAATAGGATGCATAGCAGCCACCTGTCTTACAAGCAGAAAACCAAGGAGAATTAATGGCTTGATTTGAAAATGAATAGGCTATTTCAGAGCAACTACTCAGTGAACCAGAAAATGGAGGACATATTCAGTAAAGGTAAAGATCAATAACAAGGACATATAAAGAAGTTTTTGTCTGGAGTTCTGCTTTAAACTAATACAGTCTACCCAAGAAAAGGAGTCTAGGTTCCCAATCAATAATTTATTGCACCAGTTGGTCCACCAAAGTTACATCTATATAAGCCTGAGGTATTCCTATAAATATTTGATTCATTCTTGTTAGGTGTTAATATTTGGATTTGGACATGTAATTTATGAATTTCCACAGGTGCTGAAAAGAATCACATTCTGTCAGTTTTCTAGAAGTGAAATCTCTAGATGTTGACCAAACAGCAGAATATTGTCAGCATATGCTGCCAGCTTATATTCAACGGAGCCTCAAAGTAAATATTGTATATTCAAGTTCCTACTGATTTTAATAAAAAAGAGCTTCTATTAGCAGGACAAACATCAGAGAATCAGGACAATCTTACAAAAGGTTTTTGGATAAGCATTCATTATTTTAAACCTTTGCAGAGGAGCAGGAGTATAAAATGTCTATCTAGGTTAATAATCTAGAACATTCAAGTACACCTGTGCACATACTATGGACATTAAAGTTTGCACATATTTTCTTAAAAGCAATAAAATAATTTTATTTATTGCCCTCCGTGGCTGCATGTACTGTGAAGTAATTCATCTTAAAACATTGTAACAGAGATTCTGACGTTTGGTTTAACCAATTTCTAACAGCTTACAGCACCTTAGGTTTGTCTACCTTAGAAGACTGGCAGACTACAAAGTTTAATCACAATTAGAAGACTGGCAATTTGATGGACTCTTAATTATAAAATCTTTATTGACTACATTCTAGCATATGTAGTGTAAAAAAATGCCAATATGTTTTGACCAATATGGCTTTCCTCTTAGCATATCACATATACTATATTGCCAAAAGTATTGGGATACCCCTCCAAATAATTGGATTCAGGTGTTCCAATTACCTCCATGGCCACAGGTGTATAAAATCAAGCACCTAGGCATGCAGACTGCTTCTACAAACATTTGTGAAATAATGTATCGCTCTCAGGAGCTTAGTGATTTCAAGCGTGGTACCATGATAGGTTACCACCTGCGCAATAAGTCCATCCATTACATTTTCTTACTACTAGATATTCCACGGTCACATGGTCAACTGTTGGTGGTATTATAACAAAGCAAAAGCAACTGGAAATAACAGCAACTCAGCCACCAAGTGGTAGGCCACGTAAAATGACAGAGCAGGGGCAGCGTATGCTGAAGCGCATAGTGCGCAGAAGTCACCAGCTGAGTCAATAGCTAAAGACCTGCAAACTTTATGTGACCTTCGGATTAGCATAACAACAGAGCATAGAGAGCTTTATAGAATGGGTTTCCATGGCCGAGCAGCTGCATCCAAGTCTTACATCACCAAGTGCAATGCAAAGCGTCGGATGCAGTGGTGTAAAGCACACTGCCACTGGACTCTAGAGCAGTTGAGATGTGTTCTCTGGAGTTTGATTTTTGGACACACTAGTCTTGAAGAGTCCAAAATTGGGTCTGCATGAAAGTATGCTGCAAGAATAGTTAGCTTTTTGTTAAAAAAAATCCTGTCCCCAGACCATTTATCCCAACAACAATCTTGTTATAAGACTTAAGCAATTAACATATTTAGGCATGTTATTTCCCTCTCTCTCATGTGTAGGCATTCAAAAGCCCTGGGACTGCTGCTAGTTATCTTGGATGTGATATCAGTAGCAGAGGATAATCAGAGCTGTCACACAAATATCACTCTTTAGTATTCTGCTTCTGCTACTATGACTTTTGCATAAGGGGTTATGTAGGGAGGTGAGGGAAGGTGTGGAGATGCTGAGGAAAGAAGGAAGTAATTAGACAGTCCCAGAGGAGGCATGGGTTGTGACTTGCATGATGGGAGTGTGCTGTTCTAAAAAATTTACTTCTTGGAGCAGTCAAATTTGCTAGCAGGTTCGGAGGCACATTGAAAGTAAAAAATAAAGTTTATAAAGGAAACATTCCACAGATAAACAGTAAAATACTTTTAAAAAATAGTTTTTTTTCTGTGTTTTATCAAGTTGGTGACAGGGTCTCTTTAAAGAGTAGCTCCACTTTTGTTGAGAAAAAGCATTCTCCTCTGGGTGATCTATGTGCATTGCTGGGATTTTAACAAACCTTGTTGCAGATACCTACCTTTTGTTATTCTGAAGAGATAGTTGTTTGATTGTCTGTGTCAATCTGCAAAGTGAATGTAAATAGGAGTGACTTTTCTCATTATCTGTGCACAGAATGCTTCCGGGTTGTTATACTGCATTGCAGTTTAGGCTCCATTGACACTTGTGCGACTTCAAAACCATGCAATTTTCATTGGGACTTTACAGTGCAACTTTGATGCGATTTTGACATGACTTTGGATGAGTGCAAATTCGGTGCGACTTTGGTTTTGACCAAGGATGATTGTTTCTGCTGTACAAAGTCACACACAAATCGATGTATATCATGCATCTTTGGAGGGTTTACATTGAAGTTTACGGCCTTCAAGTTGCATGAAAGTCAGACCAAAGTAGTGCAGGGACTACTTTAAAGTTGCTGCAACTTGAGGTCACACAGATATGAATGGTACTCATTGGGAAACATGGGGTCATGCGAGTTGGAACCCCAAAGTCACACAAATGTGAATGGACGCTTACAAACAATTACTGCAGACTGAAAAGGAAAGGTAATTTTAATAATGTTATATAATATGGATTGTGTTACAGTTGTAGATGCTATATTTTATTTGTGATATTTTTTCCCATGAAAGTGGTGTTACCCTTTAATGTGTTAAAATTGGTTATAACATAACTAATTTCAGGAATGTTGTTTTGTCTATATCAAGTGCTTAATCGAGATGTTAGTTATTTTAATTAAGATCCATTAAACATTGGGTATCTGCCTTTCCAGTCCTTTAATTTCAAATTATCAGTGAATGGAAAAAGTTAGGAAGTCCTGGAACTTTAGCTCGAGAGGGGCATTGGTTGTAAAATACATTTATTAAGGGCATGCTATATCACTCTTCAGGCATATTAGTTCTTGTAGTATTTGTGTTTTTGTCATGTGAGAACCTATTCTTTTTACATTGTGGACAATCATTTATGTTGAGGTGAAACCATTGAATTCAAATTGTAAAGAAGCTATTTGCATTCAAGTCTATACAGCATATACTAAATGCATACTCCCATAAGTGCATGAAGTACAGAGATTATAGGGCAACATGCATAAATGTTCATGAAAACTGAAGTAGACATAAGCAAAGATAGACTTTGCTCTCTAAGGTCTCTTTGAGGGGCCATAGCTGAAACCAGTAGCATAGATTTTTCTGTCTTCGAGTTACAAAGTCCCAACCCAAGGAGATATTGATAGGTGCAAAGTTAATGGATTGTGTGGATCCATTCATGAGAAAGGCACCAGGGCATGGCATGCTAATGGAAATGTAAGGAGCTTTCTACCAAAGTTCTGTCTCACTGCAGATCCTACACATTGATCCTGCAACTCAAAGGCACCGATTTACTGTGATGATAACCATGGAGCTTCCAAAATCCCATTTGCAGGTCACTATGGTGAAAATTAAGCAAAATGCCTCTAAATCAGCTAGAAAAAGACTAGCAAATTCTGCTTAGGACTTTAAGCAAGATGGTGACGGCTCCTCTGCAACACATTGTGCTCTGAACACAGACACAGTGAAGAAGCTGGGCAGTGGTGAGTCCTCTTGTCTCTCTCTTTGTTGTTCTCTGCCAGTAGTAGAGGAATGGAAAAGAGAGCACAGCTGCCCTGTTAGACATGTATTGAATGCTATACACAAGTCATGCTTCACTAATTGCAGTTTGGCTTA